CACCTCCTAYCCACATCCGGATGAGCTTTACGAGCCATGTAGCGAATAAGTTGCCTGCGGTGACATCGGACTTGAACCGTATCCGATTCGCAAAAACGCCGTCATCAACGCCGCTGCCACTGTTTTCGCGTACCTACAAACACTTAAACCATAGTCATTGAATAATACAGCAGCGACGATTATAATATTATGACGATCCGACGATAATCTCTTCTACTACCTACCAACCTACCTATAATTATTAATAAATAATWAATAATATTATATATTATATATACTAACTATACGCCATTATCATTACTATTTACKATGTCAATACCGTTCGGTGTCGTATTATGTTTTTGAAATAAACATACCGTCAAATGTAATAGAAATGTATTATAATATATAGTAATGCGATTGTAAAATATAATTCATTARAAAGATCCGTAGGCTTTGAAGTGGTTTTCGCCGTTCTATAGACTGCATTATTATTAATACGAATGACTCTTTTCAACTGTTTTCCTGCTATCCTATAATCTGACGATATATAAAATATAGGTATCTAACGTAAAGTTTTCCACCATGAAAAGTCATATGTTGGGACTTTTTAAAAGCATTTAAATCACATTTTTAAATTTTAATTCCATCTCCGAAATGAGAACAAACTAAAACAATCTTCTTGAACTATTTACTGTAGTTTGGCTGACAATAGAAAACTACTTTTCCTTAGGTTATTTTTCAAGCTCAAAAGTCTTTTATTTATTTTACAAATAAACAATTCCTTAAGAATCGATTTTCAATATCTTCTTCACAGTTGCCTGCCTTTTGTCGCAACCTAAAATCTAATATACCATTATTATTATTATTATTATTATCATAGTATTCTACAGTAGTCGTTTGTTTGAACACTTTTGAATGTTTGATCATGATTATTTTGTTTTGTTCATTCCATATAGTTATTGCTATATTCATATTATTATAGTTAGTTTAATCATTGAAAAATACTAACAATGATATTTTTTTAATAAACTAAATGTTGTGAAAATATTTTAACGAAAATTACGTGAATAAATAACTCAAATTTATATGTGATGTATTAAATTTATGTCACGACTCGTGGGTTTGTTGTATAATAATTATATGTTAAACACCGAGCACATTATAATAATATGAAAATAAGTTTTGGACGTTGTAGTATAAGGTATATAATATATATAGGTACATGTATTCAAAATAATTTTTAGTGTTTCAAAAAATGAAGAGATATCACTATTCGCAACAAATTTGATTAAACGCCACAACCCTCTCGAATGCGTTCCCGCCCTAAAGTGGTTACGTCCGGATGAGTAAYCTCTCTGCGYTCAATACCGCTCACTCCGAATAGTATACATAATATAACCTGTCGGATATTTTGATAAAATTATGTAAATATTTTCATCTCTCGTTTCATTAAAATATTTCATTTTTCGTGCAATTTGAATGTACAGMAATAATACATGTATAATACTACTGTGTCCATTCTGATTTGGCATACTCGAGGACCCTGGAAATTTGTGTTTTACTCGAATCTCGTGTTCCATGCTGGGACCAGAACATTTTTAATTTACACTCATGCACACAGGCTCGTATATAATTTTCACAYGAGTTTATTGCCATTTACCATCGAGACCCATATTAAGTGAACTGAATAATAATCAGAGTATAGAGTAGGTAATGGAAAATGCCAACGGCGTGGCTGACTGGCTACAGTAATTGAAGGTTTTGTTCTGATGAATTAATTGGGATCGAGAAACGTTTCAAGAACATAGTCCATAAGTACAACAATTGTTTATGATTCAATTAGCTTTTTTAGTCCATTTAAAAATAAAACCTTTAATATGTATTATATATATATATATGTTTACGAGTTTTTTATTTAGCCATAATATCTTTAAATTATGTTTCAAACATTGAAATATTTTTAAACCGATCATATATTTTTAATTAATGTTACCTAATGATACAGAAAAATTCTATAAATTCCATAAGGTTACCTTTATTTTTGAATTGTTAACTAATATTACCATGAAACATTCATAGTGAAACATATTATTAAGTTAGCCATTTAATATTTATGTGTATTAAAATTTTATTTTTGAAAACTATAAAGTTTAATTATTTTTGACGAAAATGTCTTGAGCTAGATATTTCAAAACGGCTACACATTTTTATAACACTGATATTTTGGGTTATGGTTTTGACGTCTGAGAGAAATTTAGGAACAAAATGTTTTGATAGAAAAAAATTATTTATACATCACATATTATTTAGACCGTTTACATTCCACATGGCCACATGGTTTAATAGTTTTACACTACAAAAATTCGAGTAAAAAACTGTTGGACAATATGTGTAAAATGCGATGAAAATTTAAAATAATATTGAATGTCAAAAACACGTCTATAGTAGGCAAGTATGTGTTTATAAAAAAATTATACCTTACATTAATTACTACATATTTATTTTACCTATGTTGGATTTGAAAAGCTATTATAATATAATACAATATGAGTATTATACTTTAAACATTAGGTACAAATAAAAAATGCTGATATAAAATAAATGTATAAGGCAGTTGTACATTTATATTTAAAATATTTAAATACTAAGCATCAGAGCATATCAAGAAAGCTAGCTTATCTTTGATGTGTTTATTATTACTATTATTTTTTAGTGTTGTTGATAGTAGACTGAATTTAAACTGTCTGGTAGAACCTATATTCAACCAACCGGAAATTGAACGAAGATTGTACTTCGGATAATGTGTCGAAATTTTAAATTTCTCATTACTTTGTGATGATATAAAAACTACACCATTCATGGTTGTAACCTAAACAACACTAAAAGTTTCGTCTAGAATTGTTTTTAGAATTTGATGATTAATCGTTTTCGGATTTAAAAGACAACACACCAACCAAGTGACCTATCCTAAATGCAATTTCCACGCGGCTGAAGCGAGATAAGCAAGACAAGTGGCCAACAGTGAAATTAATGTTCCGAAATGCCACCCTCTTTTTTTTAAGTTCAACTGGAAAGTGGAAACAAACAGTATTTTTAATTCAATAGCTGCATTTAATTACGGTCAGATATAAAAATGCCACCATTATTCCTTTTTTATATCAAACTTTTAAATGACCAGTCATTTTTTTATTTAACTTATTTGTTGTAAGTTATAATATTATTTTTTTATAGTTCCTATTCACTATTGTAATACGATATTATATAAAAAAATAAAATATTAATGTATTCAGCTATAAAATATAATGGTCAGAGAAGCCGCGATGCCGAAACTTAATATACGAGTGATATATATTAAGTAAAACTACTAAAACTAATGAAATCTTACACTAAAAACTGATTACCAATGTATGAATAACATACATACAAAAACACGTTCCTAAGTATTATTTAATTGAACTTGTTAAACATTGATTTAAGTACTGCAGCTATTTTAGGTAGCTACTATTATAATACAAATACAATTATTTACAAAAGCKAGGTACATGATTAAATTCTTTTCATTTTTTTTAACAGAAAAATGTATAATGAATAATGATAATATGAACTGTATATTTTTGGGAAATTTCATTACGTCACCACTGTTTACTTATTAATATTAATCATAATATTTCATTATTTTATATCATTATCAACCTACGAATTCAAAATAACCATTTATATTATTTCATTATGTACTTTGTTCAGCTGTTTCACACTTAATATTTTGTGTCCACTAACATACATATAGTGAGAACTTTATGTGAAACAATTTAAATGTTTTGATATAGGGTAACCGATAAATGTTATATATAACTCATATTGTATATTATAGTTAAGTACCTAGCTTATACTGTTGTCAACAACAAAATATTTTAATTATTTTATAGTACTCACGGATTACAATACAATATTTATATCAAACAATGTGTCCAAAACACATTGATCTGCGATAACAATAAACAAATTAAAATAATGTTTCGTCGATTTATTTTAATTTTGAAGTAATTAAACAGACATGTTGATTAAAAATAGCGACAACAAAAAATTAGACATTCGTAAACATACAACCGGAAACATTTTTTATTATTTTTTTTTTAACGCTTTGTAGTTTTTTTTACCTCTGTATATTATACAATTAATGTACTAAAATCGTCAATTTGTCTGCTTTTGTATACCATATGTTTATTTCTTCGAAGCCGTTTGATAATAAATCTGTTAATTATGTACAAATCTTCTGCGAGTAAAACGATGACTAAGACTTGCCGTTTTTGACAAGTTGCCAGAGTTCCTAAAGGTATTAAGTCGAGTTTGAAAAATAAACATTATCGTTATGCAAAGGCTGTCAATGTTTAAAAATACTGACAATAGTTTATGATATTCATGCTAACATATTTTTAACAACCAACTAAAACTTGTGCATAATCGACATCAAGCTTTCCTCCTCCTCCCCCCCTCCCTCCGCCACCCATCGTACAGAAAAAACTTTTTGCTCGAAACGGATTTACAACGGAATATAATATACATTTATACACGCATATATGCAGTGCATGTGTAAAAAAATTTTATTTATTTATTTTTTTTTTTTTGCCATATTTCCCTTATACCACTATACAATCCATCGACATAAATTTGAATGCGAACCTTCAAGTTAATCTGTGATTTATTCCCTGGGCCGCGAGAGCGTGTGCGCGTATACCCTGGGGATTCTGTACTCTACATTAATCCTCCCTCCATTTCGCTCTTTCCAAMAACCTCTCCCTCTTGCTCTTCCCCTTTCCTCTATCTACTTTCCACGCCACAACATGACGCARMCCCCGAAATTGAACTTCACCCCCTTCAGTTTTGTTGTTGTTGTATTTTTTTTTTTACACTAAGCCACTCACCCTCCTCTCACAAGGGTAGTTGCTGCCATATGGGGCCCGATCACGTTCTTCGGAACTTGTGTTTAACACGTTTTCAAAAAACCATTATTTTCACAGGATCTCTAATTAAATGGTCGGCGGATGAACAGGTGCACTTGGTGTGGTTCCGGATAGCTCGTCAACATGCGCATTGGATTTCTGAATTGGCTAAAGTAAGAAGTTCATAACAATACAATCCTATAGTGTGCAATGAAAGTCTGAAACCCATTAAGAGCTGGTTTGAATAAAATAGTTAGACAATACGGCCAAGTATAACCTTACCTACCTATTTTACTTTATATATACAAACATCATAATTTCTTAAATTTACTCTCGACCACACTATTACATCTTGAGTTTTTTTAAACCTAAATTAAATTATTTTTAAATGTAAGGGGGGTATCCTTGTTTGAACTTTGATTGGCCAACGTTAAATATAAAACTATTCATATTATAGCCATAATAATATATTATATTTATAATTTATAATAATTTAGATTAATCGGATCATAATACCAGAATACATCTTTAATAATTAGCTTTTTTGTTAGTAAACATAGGTACATATGATATACGTATTAAATAATATTTATACAACTTTACTTTAATATCTATGCATAGGTAGGTATATGTAAATATGTAGTTGCGACGAATACGAAAAATGTATTTTTTTATTTAAATAAAAAATTATTATGTGTATTTAAAATTTAGATATAATATTGTATTCGAATTAAATATTAKAAGTACTTATTACTAAATAATAAAATATCCTTCAATAACGGTTTATTAATTGTGTGTTTTTAACTTGTTCATARAAAGACTATTAAGTTTTTAAATCGTTAGCTGCAAATATTTWWAAAAAAAATCGTTACTTTCAAGTTTCATTTATAATTATTTTTTATACTTTACTCAGCATTTAATATGGTATAAGTAAAACAGCAGTATGTTATCTTCTAAGACCCTTTTAATCATTTATAATCGTTCAGCCGTGAAAAACTTTAGTTAAAGACAATGCCTCACAAGTTTTGAAAATACTGTATGAGTAGAATTAAAATTTACTTTTCTGCTAAACTTAAAGTTGGGGATACATTTACTTTTATAACTTTTGGCTTCGTGAAAGAACTTAGAAGTAAAGTATTCTCTTCGTTGATTACTTATAAATAATTATTAGATATAGGTTCTATTTAGTATTTAACCTTCTTTTATGAAATAATTAAATAGTATTATTTTTCTAGGTATTAATCATATTTTTAAATATTCTAATACTAGTTGTTTAATCACTTTAAATAAAAATTAATAACCTAGTTATATATTTTTATGAAGTATATAACAATAATCAAAAAAAAATAGACTGTATTGTTTTGCAGTCAAATATAAAAACTCTAGTTCAAAATATATTTACATATTGGCATATTTCTACGGATAAAAATAATTTTCCTCAAAAAAAAAAAAAACAAAACAAAATTTAAAATACCCTAAATTTGAATTAATTATATTAAACATATGAAACATTCAAACATATGATACCTATATCTACCTATTATTCACTTTTTTACCATAGTTTTTTATTTAAATTTAAAATTCAAATTATACAAATATAAAAGAAAAAAGTCTCAAATCTTATGAGATACAAATGTCGAATTTTATAACAAAACTCAAAAAATGTTATACAAGATTAATAAATTTATCATCAAAAAACTTGTTTTGGATGACAATATTGTATTATATTTTTTTTTCTGTTGTGAATTTTTCGTCACTGAATGTTTGTGATAAAAAAATAATAATAATAACAATATAACTGATGTTCTATACGACATGTCATTTCATATTGAAAAGGTAATACTTCTGAAACTTGCTGGGCTTTGTGTTTTGACACATTTCTAAGTCCTACATAACATATTAACGTTTCGTTTGGCTTTTAGGATTTCCAACCACACGTGTACATAATAAAATATATTGTGTTTGGTTCTAGAACAATTTCCTGTTTCACAGAACATCACCGGACGGTAACGAACTGTGGATGTACAAACGTTTAAGGGGTGAAAGCACATCTACAGTAGACTCCCCTCATACGTATACCGGGGCAGGAGGTCTAGTGATACGCGATGATCATTTGTTAGTCGTCAAAGAGCATAGCATTCCATTTTGGAAATTGCCCGGAGGTTATGTAAATCCTGGTGAGCATTTTCTACTTAAATAAGGTTTTATTGTCCCTATATAGTTGGTTCATATTCACATAATATATAATGTAATATGTCTACGCGTTTACATATTTATGAGGTAATCCTTAGTGTAATTAAAAAAAAWATACAAATGGTAATTACATGACTTGAAAATAAAAATTAGTCGGTGAAAGTATGAAAAAGAAATAAAACTGATTTTCCGGTAAAAAATCTCATACTCAAATAAGGTTATTAAAATAATGGTCGTTAATTTCGTGTTTGAAATCATTTCAATATGTGTCAATTTATTCGACTCATTACACACGGTTAAAATATTTAATGAGTACGAATGTCGTAAAACTGTGGTTTTTACTTATTTCTGTTTTAATTTAGCAATTGTCGTATCTAAAACTGTATAAGTATACGTGGATATTGGCTATAATAAATGTGTTGAATTGTTTTAATGATTTTTCGTGTCCTTGGCCGCAACATAAGGGTAGTGGTATACTAGCTGATGTAATATCGGGACGAAAAATATTTGGTATAATCACTATAATCTATTATCATTTATTTTTATTTTTTAATACTGACGGAATCCTGTGATATTACCACTAATGATCAGTGATCATGTTATTATTTTACAAACCGGAACCCGATATTTTATTTTTTTGCTAAATATTATACTGGCGACCCGTCATATTTACACGCATGTTATTATAATTTACAGTACAAAAATATTAATAATTCGCATTTCTATATTCGTACACTATACCATAAGGATAAAGTAACACGCAAACGTACGTGTTGAATGCTCGATAATATTACAACGGATAACAATAATTATTGCCCGTCTATTTGTTATATAGTGTATATAAGTACCTACATATTAAAATAATAAATATAATTTACAAAATAATATTTGTACGTGCGAGGTGTATTAATAATTTATCGAGCTCGCGTGGAAATATCTTTTTTCTGTTACATCATATACATATATATGCGCTGTACATATAGCGACGTATATGGGATTWATTTTCCGAGTGGGTGAATCTCTTAACCCCCTCCTCACTATAGTATATACGGCACTACTGTACATAATATAATATATTATATTGATATGTTTGTATATTATTTTATTTTTTAAGGAGAAAACATCGGTGACGCTGCCATTAGAGAAGTATTTGAAGAGACGGGCATCAGAGCTGAATTCGTATCTTTAGTGGCGTTCAGGCACGTTTTAAGTGGCAGTTTCGATTGCGCTGATATGTATTTCGTCACAAAGTTGCGACCGTTAACTTTCGACATTGTGATTGATAAAGAGATATCAGAAGCTAAATGGATGAAGGTAATTTAGAATTGTTTTACCTTCGACGAGAACATTTAAAAAAAATATAAAATAAAAAAAATTACGTCATTAAACCCGTGACTTCCTTGCAGCAGATTTATGACACTTTTTAATAACCCTCCTGGTCCCTTCCGACAATTGAATCACCTATAATCTCGCAGATGTTAATCTGCCAAATTAACACTTTCCATTGGCTCGCTATCTCTAACTTTAGATTGCTTCGACGGGGATAATCCCTTTATGTTGAATACTAAAAAAAAGTATTATTTCAAAAGTCGATATTTCAAGAGATGTACGAAGTTTTAAGGGTATGTAGTATATAGGTACTCGGGCGAATATTCCAGTTTACAATTTTAATGAACGTAAAAACTTTTACTACAAAACTAAAAAATAAACAAATATTATAAAATCGTTTTTTCAAACGCAATTCTTTTAAATTAAATAGCGGTATCTAATCGAAATTGTTTTAATTGCCTATAAAGTATAAAATCACAGATTGACATTTCGATTCCGATAAATTTAAAGTTTTTTATATTGGTTTAATGTTATTTCAATGAAAAACAAATACTCATTTAGGTATCTGTATTTCTATTAATAATAATAATAATATTGGTTTATAAATTATATGAATCACACACACAAG